GGGGGACGACAAGGGACAGCTGGTCAAACCACCGACTTCCCAGAGAGAGGGCTTCTTTGCTGAGCAGCCCCGGGCCTGGGAGGGAAACCTTCACGTGCCCTTCTACACACACACCCCAAACTCCCACCCCCAGCGACAGCTCTCACGGCTCACCAGAGATTATCCCCGTGCTCCTTGGGCACATGCGGAGGCCACTTATGTGCTGAATCTTCCACCCAAGCCCCCCCCCCACAGACACAGGAAGCACATACGAGCACCAGAGAGCACTGAGGTCAGGGCTGCAACACCGGCTGACCCTCCCTGGTCCGAAAGAAGCCAGGCTGAATACTACCAGAGCCAGGGCTTTCTCGGTGGCGGCCCCATACTGGTGGAACGAGCTACCAGAAAACATCAGGGCCCTGTGGGACCTCTCACAGTTCCGCAGGGCCTGTAAAACGGAGCTCTTCCGCCAGGCCTTCGACTAAGGGTTGTGCCCTGGAACATCTTCTGGCCGAACTTAGACCATCTCCTGGCTAGAGTCCCCCGCTGGTTATCTTGGGATTTGATTGGATTACTGCCATAGTTGGTTCTGTAATTGTTGTTGCTCACTTGTTTTAACTGATATTGTATTTATTGTTTTAATTTTTTGTTATATTTAGTCTTGTTAGCTGCCTTGAGCCTGCTTGTCAGGCAAGGCGGGGTATGAATACAATAAATAAATAAATTCTTAGGCTCCCTTGGCCCAAACCCAGTCCCTCTAGGCGCGCACACACCCCTCACACACAAGGGGCCGGCCACACAGGGGCCTACACTGCACGTGCCCCCTGGCAGGCAGGAGGGCGGCTCTCTCTGTCCCGCGGGGCAACCAGAGCACCTGGACAGGATGGGCGGGGCAGTCCCGAGCGAGCCCCTGGGCTCTGCAGGGTGTCCTCAGCTCTGCTTGGGAGGACCTCACGGTGTGCAACACAGCCAGGGAGCAGCAGTTCCCTCCGTCCCGGCACACCCCTCCACCGGCCGGGCACTGCACGGCAGCCAGGAACCCACCATTGCTCTCCGTCTCCAAGGTCTCCACGGAAATGGTCTCACTGGCAGGGGGCGGATCCTCGACACGCTCCAAGAGCCCCTCCACCAACTCCGCGCGATTGGCAGGGAAGATGCCCACGTGGTCGCCCGGCTGGTACTGCAGTTCTGGCTGGTCTCCTGTGAGCAACTTGACGAGGATGGTGGATCGGCTGTTTGGGGAGCAGGAGAGGGGACAGGGAAGAGGAGGCATGGGAGTAAACATCTGGTCCAGCACTGGCCCCTATGAGCCACAAGGTATGGATAGGAACTCTCGGTCTGGGGCAAGAGATGCTCTGTCTTCTTGGTGCTTGGGGGGGGGGCAACAGTGGGGGGGGCTTCTGGTGTCCTCCTGGCCCCACTGCTGGACCTCCTGAGGGCACCTGGTATTTCTAGCCCCTGTGTGACACAGAGAGTTGGACTGGAGGGGCCACTGGCCTGATCCAACACTGGCTTTTCTTATATTCTTAAGTCATGCGCACGGCAGGGAGACCCCCATTCCCTGTCCCACATCCAAGCACCAGTGTGCCATTTCGTCCTGGGCCACAAAACTCCACTTGCTTCTCCCGGGAGAGAAGGAGCCCAGCCACACCCTGCTGGTCGTGAACACGCCGTTCCGTCCAGCCGGACACCCAGCACAGGAGAGGAAGCCCAACAGACACATCCCCGATTGCAGATTCCCAGTCCAGATTCATGCGCAATGGGGCAGACCTAACTTCTTCAGACCCACTCGGAGGGTGACAAGGGCTGCTTTTACAGGTGTGTGTGGGGGATTACTGGGGCTTTAGCATCCAAACCAGAGCAGGGGCTTTGGAACATCCACCAAGCATCATCCCCCAATCATCCACCCTCTGTGTATTCCCCCTGCTTTGCTGAGGTCTATGTTTGCACGCTGGGTGGGTGGGAAGATGTGCATTTCGGCAGGTCCCGCCCTTACCAGCACCATTTTCTTTGCACCAATTCCCCGGTGGCCATTTCCTTGGTGGCAGGCTCATAAGAAAAATGTTCATGGACATACTGCTACTGTTTTCTAATGATCTATTCGTTCCTCTGAACTCCTAGCTTTTATTTTAGAAAAGAGTCACCCTCCCACTCGAATCTTTGCAGAGATATTATTATATTAGTTGTTATGTATTGGGACTGAACCATTCCTGACTGAATCACCCCAGAGACTGGCTGAGCTTGGAGCACAAGAACAATAGCCTGCCAGGATTCTGGAAGTAACCAATCAAGTAGTAATGTTATGTAAACAGCCTGTCACTGGGAGTGGGGTGTGTCTGGGTGTGGCCATCGCATGCTATTTAACAGAGCTGAGGCTCTGGAGTCTTGTCTTGCTGAAATCACAAATAAAGTTGAGCTGATCACTAGACTCGAGCCTGCCCATCCATGGAACCCCACTATTTAACATTAGTATTATTTATTAGACTTTTGTACTGCTCTCCCCACAAAGCAGGTTCAGAGCGGTGTACAATATTTTACACCAAGAAACAGCAGTGTGGGAGGCGGCCACCGAGTGTTGGCCAGCCCAGCCCGGAGGGGCAGGCTCAGACGGAGGCCCAGAAATGCCCCACCGGCCTGCCAAAGAGCTGAGCCAGGCAGAAGCTCCCCTGCGGTTCTCTCATCTGTAGACACACACACCCCACCTCCAGGGAGGGTCAGGGTTTCCCGGAGGGCCTCACCTGGACTCCGGGCTCTGCAAATTCTGGACGGAGAGAACGTGGCACGGCACCACCTTCCGCTTGTGGATGTGTGACAAACCTGGGGGGGGGACATCCAGGCAGACGGTTCAGAAGGACCTCCTGAATTCTGCTTTCCCCAAGGGGGAGGGGGCAACAGGGGGAGAGGGGCCTGCCCCTGCAGCCAGCGGTCGAGTGGCGCCACCACGCAGCCAAGCTCTAGGGCGGAGTGCGGCCCTTCCCACACCACAGAGCAACCCACACTCAAAGTCAGGGCTCTCAAGGCACAGCAGGTGAGGGCGCCGGAGGGGCTGGGGGAGTCCACCCCCCTCCCTCCCCACGAAGCAGAGGAGGCAGAACTCTGGCCGAGGGGGCCTCCTGCAGGCACCGGCTTGTGGCCTCCGAGCCGGGCCCCGGGGGCAAAGCCAGGCTGAGCCCCACGGCAGCACCCACAACACCAGCCCTGCCCACACCTGCCAGTAGGTCCGGGGGGCTTTCGTGGACGGACAAGCGGTACCGGTGGTGCTTCCAGCTGCAGCGGGTGGTGAAGACCTCCTTGGCGGCTGCCTCAGCATTGTCCCCGACGCAGAAGGTGTCGCAGGCTGCCTGCGGAGACAGGGAGCGGGCAGGAGGTTGGGGGGGGGAGGAGGAGGAGGGTCCTCGCAGTGCCTCTGGAGCAGCACACCTGAAGAGGGGCAGGCCGCCCTGGCTGCACGTTCAGGGGCTCCTGCGGGGGGGGCGGGGGGGGGGGAAAGCCCCCTCGCCTATAGCCCCATTCTCCGTGGCCAGGGACCAACCCACAAGCCCCCCCGCCCTTCCCCTGAACAAGCACTGTGAGCCTTTGGCCACCAGGTGGCAGCAGCCCCCCACCCTGGTCACAAGAAAGACGTCCTCTGCTGCCTCCGGCCAGGGCTAAATGCCAAGCTGGGCTAAGGAAGGTGCCACCTGCAACCCACACCCTTCCAGCCGCCCCGCCCCTGCTGCCACTCTGGCAAATTCACACGTGGTCTCACTGCAGCCCTTGGTGAGCAGAGAGCACTGTTTGCTAGCCGGGGGGGGTTGGCTGTCGGCCAGAATGGGAAAGAAGCAGCAAAGGTGCTGATGGGGACTGAGCCAGGGACCTTTTGCGTGCCAAGCAAGCGCTCTGCCGCTGAGCCGGGGCCCCTGAGCCAGGGCTTGGACCATGGCAGGGCCTTCTCTTTTGGGTCCAGGGAAGAGCCCACAATCCCACACCGCGGGGGCCTCCTGCTGCCCACCGAGCAGATCCTCCTGGCCGCAGAGGGGTCACCCTGCTCCCCTGCCCCCTTGCTCCTCCTCCTCCCCCTCAGCCCCCGAGCAGCCCACCTTGAAGACGTTCTTGGCCCAGGTCCGGAAGGACTCCTCTTGGGCACAGAGCTCATCCCCCTCGCCCATGGGCAGGATCCGCTCGCCTCCCAGCTCCTCCAGGCGCGTGTCCACAGCGTGGGCAAAGGCACAGAAGTGCGGGTAGGCCCGGGAGCCGAGCCCAAAGACAGCGAAGCTGGAAAGAAGGGCAGGGTGAGAGCGAGCGGGGAGGCAGACTCCCCGCCTCCCCTCAGGTGTGGGGCGGGCCCCGGTGGCTCCAGTGGGCCGGTGCTGGGTGGCTCTCGGGGAGGGAGCTCACCAGGAGAGCTCAGGTGGCCTCCTCCTCGGAGGGAGGGACAGATCTGGGCCACCAGGGTTCAAGCCACCCCTCTGCCACGGAACTCTCTCTCTCGCTCTGTCAGCTGAACCTCCCTCACAAGAACAAAGCGGGAGTCCTGAGGCACCTTTCAGACCAACAAAGTGTTATTCAAGGTATTCAAGGCACACACACGACAGCTCACGCCTTGAATATAACGTGGTCGGTCTGGGAGCCAGTTTGGTGTCGTGGTTAAGTGTGCAGACGCTAATCTGGCCGAACTGGGTTGGATTCCCCACTTCTCCTCCACTCGCAGCTGCTGGATGACCTTGGGCAAGCCGTAGCTCTGATGAGAGCTGTCCTTGAAAAAAGAGCAGTTCTCGGTCAGAGCTCTCTCAGCCCCACCCACCTCCCAGGGTGTCTGTCTGTTGTGGGGAGGGGGAGGGAGAGGAGTTTGTCAGCCGCCCTGAGACTCCTTCGGGTAGTGAAGGGCCATGGGGCATGAATCCAATCTCTTCTAGTCTTCTCCTAAAGGTGCCACTTGGGACTACAACTCTGCTCTGCTGCTTCAGACCAGCACGGCTGAGCCCACCCGACTCTGCCTCACTAAGGGCGCTGTGGAGGATGAAATGGAGGGAGACCCAGGCCCGCTGCCCTCCGCAGTGGGATCAGAGTCTGCTAGACGGGGTGTTTTGCTCACGTGTGAACATGATGGGGTCTTTTCTTTAACGTAGGGCCAACCCATTTACTGGACTTCTCCAATGTGCTCTTTTCAGGTAACAACCCCATAAGACAACCGTGTTCTTGTTGTTCAGTTGCACAGTCAAGTCCGACTCTTCGCAACCTCATGGACCAGATTCCGCCAGGCCTTCCTGTCTTCCGACGTCCTCTGAAGTCTTCTCAATTTCATGTTAGTTGCCTCGATAACACTGTCTAACCACCTCATCCTTTGCCGTCCCCGTCCTCTTTGACCTTCAGTCTTTCCCAGCATCAGGGCCTTCTTCTCCAGGGAGTGCTCCCTTCTCATTGGGTGGCCAAAGTATTTGAGCTTCAGTTTCATTATCTGGCCTTCCAGGGAACAGTCAGGGTTGATTTCTTTTAGGACGGACTGATTTGATCTCCTTGCAGTCCAAGGGACTCTCAAGAGTCTTCTCCAGCACCAGAATTTGAAAGCATCTATTCTTCGGCACCGGCCTCTGGCAGCCACACAGTATTAAGACAACCGTAACCCCTACTAAAACGCGCATCTCCAAGGCCAAAGTGCAATCCCCACGTGCCCGCTCCTTCCTAAGTGCTGACATTAATGTCAGCCCGGGGCCGGGGGCCCGTCTCACTCCCCTTCCACGCCTGCCCCCCCCGCTGCCCACGGCCACAGAAGCCCCGGCAACTTCCGCTCCCGCCACCGCAGGGAGAACCAGAGGAGCCTCTGCCCCACCTTGGCACGGCCTCCTCCTCTCCAGAGCGGCTCTCTTGGGCAGCGCCTCTATATTTAGATGTCATCTCTCTCTCCGGCTAACTACGGAACAAAGCCTCTTGATGAAGATAAATGGAATGCGCGTGTCCGGAAACAGCCGCCTGGCCAGATGGCTTCCTTTCCCACCATTCCGGGCAAGACACTCCAAGGAGGCCGCAGAAGAAGAGGAGCAGGGAGGGAGGGAGGGAGGAGAGGGACAGAGAGAGGCCAGCGGGCGCCCGGAGGAGCAGCCCTTTGGGAAGATCCAGGTGAGGCACTGCTCTGGAGGCACAGGAAGTGGTGCCGGACCACCAGAGAGCAGAGAGGGCCCCTCTCGGACAGCCTCCTCTCTCCTGCAGGGCACCACCAGTTCCCCTTGGGGGGGAGGGGGGAGCAGCCGTGGGGCGTGGAAGCCGAGGCCTCCCCGGAGGACCCCTGACTGTTCCCAGGCAACAGCCACTGGATCGCAGGCCGAGGCAGCCACTTCTGGACCGGGCTGGGTTTGTTCCTGCAAAAGTAGCCACGAGGTACAGATAGGAACTCTCGGTCTGGGGCAAGGGATGCTCTGTCTTCTTGGTGCTTGGGGGGGGGCAACAGTGGGAGGGGCTACTAGTGTCCTCCTGGCCCCACTGGTGGACCTCCTGGTGGCACCTGGTGTTTCTGGCCACTGTGTG